ATTCAACAGATGCTGTTGACTGCCAAAAAGAGACAAAGAGCAAAGCAAGCCTGAAATTTCCCTAGAAACAAAGATGAGATGTTCATACTTTGGACTTGAGAAGGCATGACTCACTAAAAAAGACAATACTGTTAGCCATCCATATTCATTGGCCTTAGAGATGCAGGGCCCTTGAAAAGTGGAAACTACAAATTAAAAAACTACTTTTCTTTAACCTGAGAGAACAACTCTACCGTCACATTCTGGTGGAAGCTAGTCAAAGAATCATCCAGAGAACCTATAAATGCTTGAATTAGTGTTTTGTCAAGGAATCTCTAGATTCTCCAGTGTAATTCTATGATGGAAGATGATCATAGAATCCTGCTGGATGATCTAGAGATTCCTAGAAAGAATTTAAATTCACAAAACAATCAAATATGCAGAAGTGAAATCCACAAATTTGGAGGGCTGACTATCATGTAAAGTGCAAGGCAAGAAGAAAAGAGGAAGACCACACTAAGATGAATTGACTCAGTCAAGGAAGCATTGAAGTTTGCAAAATCTAAGCAGAGCTGTTGATAACAGGGTGACTTGAAGGTCTCTTATTTATAGGGTCACTATAGAATCATAGAGTTGAAAGACACCACATGAGCCATTCAGTCCAATCCTTTGCGATGCAGGAAAAGCACAATCAAAGCAGCCCCGACAGATGGCTATCCAGCCTCTGTTTAAAAGCTTCCAAGCAAGGAGCTTCCACCACACTCTGAGGCAGAGAGTGTCACTGCTGAACACCTCTTACTGTCAGTAAGTCCATCCTAATGTTCAGGTGGAATCTCCTTTCCTGTAATTTTAACCCATTGCTCTGAATCGTAGTTTCCAGGGTAGTAGAAAACAAGCCTGCTCCCTCTTCCTTATGACATCCTTTCACATATTTATACATGAAACTGAAGTCGACCTGACGACAATTAACAACAAGCAGTTAACAGTAACAACAAAGACTCTTGTGCATTCTAAATTTAGTTGTTATGTGTTGACCCAGTGTGCTCATATTTTTGTATAACATTCAAACAGGAAGATCTTCTTTTTAAAGATCTTTAGACTTTGATAAGAAGTCTAGATCTGCATAACAACAACTATAGCAGTAGCAATACTGCATCCCCATCGATTGCCTAGAGAACTCCTAAAAACCTTTATATCCTAAAAAAATAATAGATCAATCTATTACCTAACTTGTATATCTTTAGGTTTCTCCATTTCTCCAGTGGGAATAATTTATAGAAAAATAGATATTACACTATGAACCCAATAATGAAACACACAACATGATACAGAACACACCAACTTAGTTACTGTATCATTATGTTCTAAAACAAGTCTGATAATGAATTTATAGGACAGTCTACCCCAGGCATGGACAATCTTTGGCCCTCCGGGTGTTTTGGACTTCAACTCCCACAATTCCTAACAGCCGTTAAGAATTGTGGGAGTTGAAGTCCAAAACACCCGGAGGGCCAAACTCCCACAACTCCCACAATTCTTAACGGCTGTTAGGAATTGTGGGAGTTGAAGTTCAAAACACTTAGAGGGCTGAAATTTGCCCATGCCTGTTCTACCCCAAAGTAGCGGCGAATAGAGCAGTAAACTCGATTCTGTTGCCTTAAATAACAAAGAGACCACAGACCAATACATCTTATTCTAGCTTAATCTTCCATACTTTGGTATCGGATGAAGCCTAACTGGACTCTTGTTAATGCCATAATAAATGTCTTTTGTAAAAAAAATGTAGCCACTAGCCACTCCAGTTCATTATATTTCTATCCAAATTTTCCCCACAAGGGACTCAAGATAGAGTACACAGTTGTCAACCGCCTTCTGTCTTCACAACAACTCCACAATGTAGGTTAGGCAAAGCAAGAGTGACCAATCCAAGATCAAGGTTTCTCAGTAAACTCCAAAGGGAGTGGCTATTTCAATCCAATGTTTCAACCACAGCTGCCCTTGAAGGTGTCACTATTGTGTTTTTTCCCCAAAATGGAAAGAAAGGCAATCATTTACCCAGAGGAACAATGAGATCCTTGAACTTTGGCCCCAAAGTAGATCTAAAAGGGATTTCTAAATGCTTGGATTGGATAAGCAGGTGATGAAAAGGGGGGGGGGGGTTAGCCTGGGTATGATAACACAAGGACATTGAGAAATGCCGAGTTCCGAAACTATGGGAAATTATGCAAACTGTCTCACTTTCACTCAGTGCTGTGATTTCCCCCCATAACTCATAAAGATCATAGGAACAACTCAACCAGTCATTGTCCATTCAAAGTATCATAGTCCACTACTTTGGAGGTGCAACTCACACATGGTTATCAGATACTCCCAATTGTTATATAGACAATCGTTGTTGTCTTCTTATATTTATCAATATATTTATACCCCTTTTAATCTCTTTTATACCTTTTGTTCTTGTATTTTTATATTTATTTATTTATACCCCACTTTTCTCTCTTGTTAAAAAATGAGTATTTTATTTAAATCAGTAGGGGTTTCATATGCTGTTTTTATGTATATTTGTTTTATGTAAATTGAAATTGGTGTTGTTTTATAAATGTTCATGTATTTGACTATATTTTGTATATTCTGCTGCACTACTATGTGCTTTGTAAGCCGCCCCAAGTCCCTTTTGGGAGATGATGGCGGGATTTAAATAAAGTTGTGTTGTTGTTGTTGTTATTCCCTTTTAATCTTCCCATCATATTACCTATTTCTTCCTAGTTATTCAAGTTTCTCCTGTGCTCTTGGATCAGAGGGCCTTTCAGACATTACACAGAACAGCAAACCAGCCCTAATCTTTAAACTTAGGATTGTCCTAAGTCTGAAACAACTTGAAGGCACACAACGACAACAATCTTATTTAACTTGACTCTCATCAGCTAAAAGCAGGCCCACACTTCCCATTGAAATGCCGATAAGTTATTGCTGATTAAAATTGTTCTTCATAGAATCATTGACCTGGAAGAGATCTCATGGGCCATCCAGTCCATGCCCCTGCCAAGAAGCAGGAAAATTGCATTCAGAGCACCCCTGACAGATGGGCATCCAGCCTCTGTTTAAAAGTCTCCAAAGAAGGAACCTCCACCACACTCCAGGGCAGAGAGTTCCACTGCTGAACAGCTCTCACCACTAGGAAGCTCTTCCTCATGTTCAGGAGGAATCTCCTTTCCGTAATGTGAAGCCATTGTTCTGCATCCTAGTCTCCAAGGCAGCAGAAAACAAGCTTGCTCCCTCCTCCCTATGACTTCCAGTCACATATTTATACATGGTCCCCATCACGTCTCCTCTCAGTCTTCTCTTCTGCAGGCTAAACATGCCCAGCTCTTTTATTTGCTCCTCATAGGGCTTGTTCTCCATACCCTTGATCATTTGAGTCACCCTCCTCTGGACACATTCCAGCCTGTTAACATCTCTCTTCAATTGCAGTGCCCAGAATTGGACACAGTGTGATTTCAGGTGTGGTCAGACCAAGGCAGAATAAAACGATAGGATGTCTTCCCTGGAACCCATTGGCTTTTTTAGCCACCACATCACATTGCTGGCTCATGTTTAACTTGTCCATGAGGACTCCAAGATTTTTTCACATGTACTGCTGCCAAGCCAGGCATCCCCCATTCTGTATCTTTTTCTGCCTAAGTGGTGTATCTTTGCCAAGTTCTTCTAGTATAAGTAGTCCCTGAGTTACAAATGACTCCTAGATAAGAACGGGGGTGAGACAAAATCTAAACCCTTGAAAGGGAAATTCACTCATGAAAGAGTGATTATCAAGGGGAAAAGGTGTCTCCACTGAAGCTTTATCAGCAAGCCTTGTTTCAGTGCAAGCCAAAAGTTTCAAAATCCAATTGCAGGGAGAGAAAGTGAGGTGAAATCTTTGGAACAGCGGAACAGACAGTAAACAAACAGCACAGGGGTGTTTACCCTTCCCTATGCTACCCAAATATCTACTCACACTCTCTCTTTCTCTCCCTCTCTCTTCTCTCCCCCTCTCTCTTTCTCTCCCTCTCTCCTCTTTCCTCCCTCCTCTCTCTTCTCTGGCCTCCCTTTCTCTTCTCCTCTCCTCTCTCCCCCTCTCTCTCCTCTCTCTCTTTCTCCCTCTCTCCCTCCCTCTCCCTTCTCTTCTTCTTTCTTTCTCTCCCTCTCTCCTCTTTCTCCCTCCCTCTCCCCTCTCTTTTCTCTCCTTCTCCTCTCTCTTCTCTTTCTTTCTCTCCCTCTCTCCTCTTCCTCCTTCTTCTTTCCCCTTCTCTTCTTCTCTCCCCTCCCTCTTCTCTTCCTTCCTTTCTTTCTCCCCTTCTTCCTCTTTCCTCCTTCTCTCCCCCCTCTCTCTCCCTCTCCCTCCCTCCTCTTCTCTTTCTTTCTCTCCTCTCTCTTTCCTCCCTCTTCTTTCTCTCTCCCTCTCTCCCTCCTCCCTCCTCCTCTCCTCCTCCCTCCCCTCTCCCCTGGCCCCCTCTCTCCCTCACTCCTTCTCTCCTCCCACCCTCCCCCCTTTCTTCCCTTTCCTCTTTCTCTCTCTCTCCTCTCTCTGTTCTTCTCTCTCTCTCTCACCCCCCCCCCCCGTGTTTTTGGCTGGAATGACAACACTTCAAAAATACACCTGTTCCGACTTACATACAAAGTCAACTTAAAAACAAACCTGTGGAACTTATCTTGTTCATAATTTGGGGACTATATTTGAAAGTTCTGGCCACCTAGACACAAGCTGCCTTCTTGGGGGGGGGGGGGCGGCGGTCTGGAGGTTCCCCTCTCCCACCCTCCACTTTCTGCCCTGTGTTGTCCTACTCAGGTAGAAATCCCTGAGCCCATGGGCTAAGCCTCTCCAAGAGGAGGGGGTTCCTAAACACCCTGCTGCTCCTTTGGAAAGAGAGGTGGGTGAGTGTGGGTGCCTTCACAAGGGAGGGGAGAGCCTTCCATCGCCAGGCAAGGTGAGCCCACCGCTCATTCACACCTGTCCCCAAAGTTTTCCCCAAGTTTCGTCCTACCTGCAGCCTCTGTTCCCTCCAGGCTGGGGCTGAGCTTCTCCCATGGCCAGAACGGGACTGCCTCCTTTGAAGGCGAAAGGGGAAAGGCAGCCTCGCCAAACTGCCCCCTTTTTTTCCAGCCCGGAGCCAGTTTGCCTGACCTCGGAGGGAGCCTGCCCTGGGTGCCATTGGGCAGCCGGGCGTCACGTGACCGCTGAGGAAAAGAAAAGCCCTTTAAAAAACAAACACACACACACTCACAGAGAGAGTTTGCATGGAAGACATCCCAGGAGACTCTCTTGTAACCCTTTACCTGCAAGTGGGAGGCGGGAGAAAACCAGCCAAACGTCCTAACGAGGAGGAATAGGTTAGCCCGCACCTGGAATACTCTTACCTCAAAAACTGAAGTAAGATATTGACAAGCTGGAATGTGTCCAGAGGAGGGCCACTCAAATGATCAAGGAGAACAAGCCCTATGAGGAGCGGCTTAAAGAGCTGGGCATGATTAGCCTGAAGAAGAGAAGGCTGACATGGTAGCCATGTATAAATGCGTGAGAGGAAGCCACAGGGAGGAGAAGGGAGCAAGCTTGTTTCTGCTTCCCTGGAGACTAGGACGCGGAACAATGGCTTCAAACTACAAGAAAGGAGATTCCACCTGAACATTAGGAAGCACTTCCTGTCTGTGAGAGCCGTTCAGCAGTGGAACTCTCTGCCCCAGAGCGTGGTGGAGGCTTCTTCTTTCATAGAATCATAGAGTTGGAAGAGACCTCATGGGCCATCCAGTCCAACCCCCTGTCAAGAAGCAGGAAAATTGCATTCAAAGCACCCCTGACAGATGGCCATCCAGCCTCTGTTTAAAAGCTTCCAAAGAAGGAGCCTCCACCACACTCCAGGGCAGAGAGTTCCACTGCTGAACGGCTCTCACAGTCAGGAAGTTCTTCCTAATGTTCAGATGGAATCTCCTTTCTTGTACTTTGAAGCCATTGTTCCATGTCCTAGTCTCCAGGGAAGCAGAAAACAAGTTCGCTCCCTCATCCCTGTGATTTCCTCTCACATATTTATATGGCCATATCATGTCTCCTCTCAGCTTCTCTTCTTCAGGCTAAACATGCCCAGCTCTTTAAGCTGCTTCTCATAGGGCTTGTTCTCCAGACCATTTATCATTTTAGTTGCCTTCCTCTGGACACATTCCAGCTTGTTCAACATCTCCCTTCAATGTGGTGCCCAGAATTGGACACAGTATTCCAGATGTGGTCTAACCAAGGCGGAATAGAGTGGTAACATTACTTCCCTAGATCTAGACACTAGACTCCTATTGATGCAGGCCAACATCCCATTGGCTTTTTTTCCTGCCGCAACTGAGTTGGAAATTTAAGGGGCCCTTGGACACAAACATGCTATGACCCAACATGATGACAAGATGCCGTGAAACTCTTCAGTTTCTAATGTAGTGACCCACTGGAGCTCTCTGCTCCAGAAGTCAAGCTAAGTCTAATACTAATTTTTATTGATTAGCATTTAGGCCAGTATTTCTCAGCCTTCCTAATACCGCTACACCTTAATACAGCCCCTCACGTTGTGGTGACCCCCATCCAGAACATTATGTTCATTGCTACTTCATAACTGTCGTTTTGCTACTGTTCTGAATCATAATGTAAATATCTGAAATGCAGGATGTATTTTCATTCACTGGACCAAATTTGGCACAGGTACCTGATATGCCCCAATTTGAATACTGGTGAGGGTTATTTTTGGAGAGGGGGGGGGATTGATTTTGTCATTTGGGAGTTGTAGTTGCTGGGATTTATCATTCACCTACAATCAAAGAGTATTCTGAACTCCACCAATGAGGGAATTGAACCAAACTTGGCACACAGACCTCCCGTGACCTAGAGAAAATACTGGAAGGGTTTGATGGGCACTGACCTTGAGTTTTGGAGTCGTAGTTCACCTATATCCAGAGAGCACTGTGGACTCAAACAATGAGAGATCCGGACCAAACTTGGCAGGAATACTCAATATGCCCAAATGTGAAGACTGGTGGAGTTTGGGGAAAAAAATAGACATTGACATTTGGGAGTTGTAGTTGCTGGGATTTATAGTTCACCGACAATCAAAGTGCATTCTAAAACCCACCAATGATAGAATTGGGCCAAACTTTCCACACAGAACCCCCTTGACCAACAGAAAATACTGTATTGTCGAAGGCTTTCATGGCCTGAATCACTGGGTTGTTGTAGGTTCTTTCGGGCCATATGGTCATGGTCATATGGAGGCATTCTCTCCTGACGTTTCGCCTGCATCTATGGCAAGCATCCTCAGAGGTAGTGAGGTCTGTTGGAACTAGGAAAAAGGGTTTATATATCTGTGGAATGACCAGGGTGAGACAAAGGACTCTTGTCTGCTGGAGCTAGGTGTGAATGTTTCAACTGACCACCTTGATTAGCATACAATGGCCTGACTGTGCCTGAAGAAAACTTTTGTTGAGAGGTTATTAGATGAACAAACCATGAAAATGAACAAAATCTGGCTACCAGTATTAAAAAACTCTAAAATTGCAACAGCACAACAACAAAGAGGAAACAAACAAGGACATCTAATCACCTCTTTCAGAGAAAGAGACTCCACCACACTCCCAGGCAGCCTACTCCACTGCTGAACTTGTAGATCCCATTATTCAAAAAGCAGTTCAGATGGAAACATGATGCAATATATTGTCAAAGGCTGTCATATCTGGAATCTCTGGGTTGCTGTGAGATATCCGGGCTGTATGGTCATGTTCCAGAAACATCTTCTCCTGATGTTTCGCCCACATCTATGGCAGGCATCCTCAGAGGTTGTGAGGTCTATTGGAAACTAGGCAAGTGGGATTTAAACAAAGGACGGTATGCTCATATTTGGTGGGAATGTCCAAGGGGAAAATGGAAGAAAACCTATTTAATTTATCACTTCAAGTGAGCATGGATGTGATGCTAATGGGAGTTTTAGGTAACAACAAGGTTAAAGTAAAAGACCAGGAATTATTTAAAGCTATGATTTTAGCAGGACAGATGGAAACATAATGCAGTGATAGCATGGGGTGGGAAATATGGGGGGGGGGGGGGGGGACTATAGACAATTGGAATAAGTACTTTTATGATAATTACAATATGATATTTTTGTATATTGAACTCATGATGCTACGCGTGAGTGTAAAACAAAACAAATAAAAGATAAATGGATGGTTTATATGGAATGGATAAATAGCAGCAAAGCCCATTTGAATATTGTACTGAATATTGTACTGAAATTGTGCTCATGGATAAAAAGATAGAAGTATGTGGTCTGGGTGATGGGTCGAATGAAGTTTTCAATAGTAAAAAATTAATGAAAAATATATTTTAAAAAGACAGCACTATCCGTTCTATTACTTGTAGTTTGTTCTTATTTTATTGGTTACATAGAATTATTGTAACATGTTTATTAGTTGCTCAACCACAATCTTCCCTGAACTTTTGGTGGTTTACATTTGTAATTGCTTTGACACATGAAGCTAATGAATGGGTTCTGAGGGCTATCAAATAGATCTTCTTTCAGTGGAGTGTTGTGTGGTTTCTGGGCTGTATGGCCATGTTCTAGCAGCATTATCTCCTGACATTTTGCCTGTATCTGTGGCTGTCATTTTCAGATACAGAAGAAAATTCAGGAGAAAATGCTGCTAGAACACAGCCATACCATCCGAAATTGATTATTACAGGTTCATTGTTGTTGGTTTGATGGTTGCTTTTATATTCTGTTGTAATCTTGTTGTTTTATTCTGCTTTATGCTGTTGTTTATGTATTTTAGTGTGTTATATTTTAACTATGGGGTCCTTACATCAGGCTCATCCCCATGAAAGCCGACCCAAACCCTTCTGAGAGGATGGAGGCGGGGTACAATAATAATAATAATAATAATAATAATAATTATTATTATTATTATTATTATACTGACACAAAACCACAGTATGTCACAGCAAACGAGATCTATATGCTGGATTTCGTATCACAAAATTACAAGTCTAACATTTCCTAATCGTCTAGAACTGTGTGATGTATTTTCGAATGATGCATGCAGATCCAAGTAAGGTGGCATTTTGCAGTTGACAGATCATGATTTTGTCAATGTATATTGTTTCCAAATGCCTTCCGATGACCACTGGGACCACCTGTACTGGTTTATGCCAGAGCCTTTGCGGTTCGATTTTGAGGTTTTGACAATGGCTGAGTTTTTCCTATTGTTTTTTCTCAATGCGACTGTCACCTATCCAAACTTTTTTCTTTTCCACAATTGTGATGTCTGGTGTATTGTGTTCCAGAACTTTGTCAGTCTGGATTTGGAAGTCCCGCAGTATTTTTGTGTGTTCATTTTCCACGACCTTTGCGGGTTTATGATCCCACCAATTCTTTACTGTTGGCAGGTGGTACTTGTGACATCAGTTCCCATGAATCATTTGGGCCACAGAGTTGTGCCTCTGTTTGTGTTGTTGTTGTTGTTGTTGTTGTTGTGATTATTATCAAACCACATAACACTCCAGTGATTCCGGCCATGAAAGCCTTTAACAATATGTTATTTCAATTCTCCTTTTGCTGATCTTAATGTAGAGGTTAACTTTTCCTATAGGCCATCTTCCATATTCTTTAAGCGTGTCTCAAAAATATTTCAAAACAAAAGATTTCAAAAAGGAACCCTGCTTTTGTCATTTTTATAAGAGCACCCTTTTCTGTTTGGCATTATTTATAATAGGAGTTGATCATCCATGGATTTTGGCATATATGGGGATCCTGCAAGAAAACCCCAGTAGGGCCCACTGTAATTGCATAGTAACTATGTGTACAATATTGAGCAGAGTAGTCCTAGGAGTGTCTCTTCTGAAGTCATTTCCATTGGGTTCTGTGGAGTTATTCTTTCAGATAAGTACTGTAGTCAGAATTGGGAGGCATATATGTCAATGAATCTGTTCCAGGCTTAAATCTATACTTAAAAGGAATTACCCAAGGTGACAAATCGTATCCTCCTCTTGATTGAACCAATTGGTCAGCTCCATCAAACTCAGAATGAATTCATCTCTCAACTGACATGGAAGCCACCATCTGTTACTGTGGTGATCAGTTGGTCCCTGCTGTAGAGGTTTCCCTAAAACTCTACACCATTTTGCCTCAAAGTAACCTGTGGAATAGTGGCAAGAGGCCAAGATTTGAACCCTTGCTCAGTCATGGAAATCCATTGAATAGCCTAGGACAAGTCCCACTCTCCTGCCCGTTGAAGAGTAGGCTCGGCTCTAGAACATATGCACTCCTTCTCCAAGTTGGTGTCTATATTATTTTCCTTTGGGACCAAGTAGCAGTTGGATGGTAAGTTAGTGTCAGCTTTGAAATGAATGGGATCCCAGGACAGATTAAAATAAATGGTAATTTGAATTAAGGGTCACAACGTTGACCAATATAAGCATTTTTTTTTAAAAAAGGAAGTCAAATAACATAATTACTTGTAATGGGTCCAGAAACGGCAGAGAAGAGGGTGCCTGAATGACTGTTGTCAACTATCTTCTTTTCTAGTGTGAAGCAACAAGTGAGTGTTGAGTGATTTTAAGACTCACTTTTCATTTATATCCAAACAAGGCTCAAGAGGTGTGGCTGACAATTAAGAAAATTGATAAGAAATGCCCTAGGGTTTGCTTCTATAGTGCGCAGGAAAAAATGCCATTAAAAAGTATTGGAGAAAAGAAAGCCTCTATTAACTGGTAAGGTTTATTAGGAGTTGACTCTGAAAGGGTGGCTCAACTATGAACTTGAACATTCACTTTCATTTTAGCTGCTTATTTGTGATTGTAAAACAAATTATAGGAATATTTTACAGAAGGCTTATCATGGAGATGGGCAAAAAGATGTCATCTCCTCACACTTTTGAATTATAACACTAGCTGCTTAGCTGTGAGAATATAATTTTGTTTTTTTTTAAAAAACAAAAAAACAAAACAAAACGAAGATGCCAAATGCTGGTTTTCCACTGAATATGCATCCTTGATGAATGGGGGGAGGGGGGGAATGGAAATCATGAGCAACTATGGAATGTACTATTAAGTTATCCTTACATTCAGATCTGTGGACTGGTTGCAATAGAGGTCAATACAATAGAAGTGTTGATTTCCAGTTATGTGGTCTTTGATTTGTGACACCAAAAAAAGATGTGGGAAGTGGCAAAGGGAGAAATGTCTTCAAGGCTATTGCACCATCTAGTGGTAATGCTCAAACAATAGTGTCAGACACTTGGCTATTTCTCAAAGTAAATGGGTGCTCTTAGCACAAAATTGTCATTCTGAATACAGTAATTCCTGGAAATATTCCAAAGGGGAGGATACTATTTTGTCTTTGTTACTTTGAAATCCTAATAATGTACCTGTTGACCTGCCATTATAGCAGCCATCTCAGGTACTGTTCATTGTACTGTCAGGAAGGAGAGGTCTTGTGAGATGGCTGCACTACCTCATTTTCCAAAAATAAACCTGATTGGCTTTGGGTATGATGAACTTGGATGTTGGTGATGGGGCAGTTTGATTTCCTGCTCTGCCCATCAGCAAAATACCTTGATTTAGCATTGACCTGGAGATTTCTTCTCCACAAATCCTTGTTCCACACTCACCTTGAATGCAACTGCTATCTGCCTAAACATAAGTCTACCAGCAGTCATTTCTGTTTTATAGTCTGCCTCATGAGAAATTTCCATCTAGACATTTTTGCAGTAGTTCCTGCAAGTGAGAACTCTATATTTTGTATTGCATTAAGCATATGGAGAAGCATTGCATAGTATCCTTAATGGTGTGTCTCTCTCATCCAGGGGGATGTCAGGTACTTTACTATCATATACAGTGGGCATGTTCAGCTCCAAAGCACTGCTTAAGTGCATTATTCTACATTTTATCATAGGTCAGAACAGCAGCCATTAACATAGTTGGGAAAAGCATAAGCTCTGTCGTCAGACTTAGCTCATTGCTGAAGCTGGCATTCTCTCGGTTTCTTCGGAGACAAATACTCCCGGCTTAGTCTGTGATGTGATATCAGGAAGTCGATAAGCCTTGGGAATCACTTTTATATTGAATGGTTATTGCTCATAACCACTGCTCAACAAAGCTGGAGAGCAGCAGCAGCAGAAAACATTCTCTGAAATTCCACCCATTCCAGAAGGAAAGATCACTTCCCAATAAAATCAGAATGCCTTCATTAGTTTCATTATATAGTTTATATTTATTCATACAAACAATGCATACACAAGACTGTATATTGTTTGAAGACAGCAATAGATTTCTAATTTAACAACTCTGTAACAAAATTTAACTAAATTGAACATTTATGAAAATATAAATCTCTGATTGGGTAGTTCTTCCCCAACAATACAAAGTTTACATAAAAACATTCAATATGATCTATTGGTTGCAAACAAGTTAGGAAAAGTCATTCAAGTCACTTGATATATACTACATTGGCTTTCACACAGAATATGCACACACTGTAGTTATTCGCTAGCTTAGGTGCTTATTTTTGTCAGAAAATCAGTCACTGAGGCTCAAAACACAAAAGACGCTGGCAGTCCCATTTATTAGACCTAGGCCTGCCAAATAAAGTGCATAAAGTGAAGCTTTTGTGTGTCCAATTTTTAAAGCAAAGGGATAATTGGGGATGCCAAACCTTGTCTACATCCACAGCTTTACTCCCCTCTCAATTGTGATGATCTCTCATGAAGGATGAGAGCGCAACTGTATGGAGGAAAAGGCTGTGGGGAGGGAAGGTGAAATATCACCATACATAAAAGCCTTTCACTCTCAAAATCAAGTCACTTTATACATAACTGGGGAAGATTCTGTTTGAAGCAAACAGGTCTCTCAATCTCATATGTGGTTTGAACCTCCGAGTTCTGTTGTCAACTATTAAAAAGTAAAAGACATCTGTTGACTTCATATCCATTGAAACATGTCAAGGACATGCCATGTTGAAAATAAGTAGTTAAATAATCCCACAGCTCAGGTTAAACTAAAGTACCTGCACATAAGTCAGTTGATGTTATCATCCTGTAATACCAAACTCAATGTGTCTGCTTGTAAAGCTAGCATTAAAGTTGTATGTAATGTTGTAGTTTCTGACACTGAGGTGGAACCGGTATTGCTATCATATAAACACACTTGTCAGCTAAATCTGGTTCATACATGCGTGTACATTGTTTGACTTTCATTCCAGAATAATCGAGCACTTAAGGACTCTCAGTGGAATGTCTGCATTGAAAAATGTTGTTTGAATTGAGAGTAAATTGGTGATGATGAGTTTGTGATTACAGTACAGTCAATGAATGACACACATCCGAACGCAAATCAGCATTCCAGAGATGTTCATACTAGAATGTTTTGAAATATTTATTCTTTTGTACTGCTTGTCAGGAATGGGGTGTTGCCTTATTTTTTGCATCTCCATTTTAAACTACACATGTGATGGACACATATGTCTTTTGAAGGAGAATGCCCCAATACACACACAATCCATCCACACTGGTGGGGCCTGTGTTTTTGCATATTCCAAGAGAATGGGAAGGATTCACCACCCCAATCCCAAGTACTTTACTTTAGTAGAGCTGTGGATTGGGGCAGAATGTGTATAAATTATCAGATCATCAGTAAGTTCAGCTAAGTGAGCTAAGTGATGAGAAATAAAGGACCATATTTCACAATGTTTGCATTGGAATTGATAAAAGTACTAGAAAAAGGCCATGAACAGTCCTTCAGCAGGAAGTGAAGAGGCATAAATACTCTAAATAGAAGTAAGAAATTCATTATAAAGTGGAACGGTAAAGAACCCTTTGGGGCAGCTGGAATTTTCAGCACATACACAAGCATAATGTTAGTCCCAGAGTATTTGGTCATCTGATCTGTGTTTCACACAGAATATAACAGGAACAACAGTAAGGCAAACACTACAAGTATCAAGAGCAATACACAGCATGTCTGAATGCTTTCTGTTCAGATTTCAGCAAGGATTAAAAATGGACTTGCTTATTTCAGAAAGATTGAGATATAAATCTGTTTTAAAATAAAAGAGAGTAGAATGAGAGGTGGGGAGAGGGTGTCACTGTTTATCCCTAATGCCCTTTTCTTTGAAGATGTTATTTTTTATACACAGTATTAAAATACAATGTGAAAGAGACAGAAAACAACACAATTTCAGGATTTAGGACCCTTTCTTACTTGACTAAGATAATCAATAGTTCTTATTATTTGTATGTTTGCAAAAAAAGAACAGGAATCCAAATCCAAATGTACAATTCATGTAAAAGTGTTTTTCTGATTATAATATGATTGATTTGTGACCTCACATGTTGCTATTTGTAGAGTTTGGCTTCTACCCTATTTCCACTGAATCAGTGGATGCAATCCAAGCAAAGTGGAGTAAAGTCAAATCGAGTGAAATGTATTTGTTTCCAATCAAATCAGCAACACTTAAATGTGTTAAACAGCTGTAGGATTGTGCCTCTTTTTTCAAATAACAATAGCAGCTACTAATTCAAATGTTTATGGAATGCATCAAGTCTTCCAGGCTGACATGTGTCATCTTATCATGTGCACCATTAGAAGGATAAAACTCATTTTTGCATGCTATACCTATTCAAGATACCTGGAGATTTAGACTTACAGCCACCTGATGTTTTTTTTAAAAATGGCTGGCTTGCCTCATTCCCATATGAAAAGTAGCTTTATTTACTGTTAAAAAGCTTAAAAATACCCCCCCCCCAATTGTGTAATGTTAAAATAATGTTAATGATATTGCTAGACATTTCCAGTTAAGGGCCTTGGATTAAGATTCACATTTGAATATTTAAACTTGTAGCCCATTCATTTTAACTGTTCTCTTTTCAAACTTGTTATAACAAAATACAAACAAGATAAACAGAAATTTGGTGTGTGGAATGGTGAGCTGTTTTGTCAAATACATATAATCAATTGTCAGCAGTGAACCCATGCCCTCTGCAATCTATGGCAGAACATACTTTGTCATAGCAGTAGTTATGTTTTTTGGTTGGGGTTGCTTCACTTGCCTCTGGGTCTGTCACTGTAATTGGACTGTCTCTTGCGAACACTTCTGTAGACTCTCTCCAGATGCAATCTGCTGTCACCTTGAAGCTATAACTGTGACACTTCGGTTTAATCACTTGTGTTGCATTGTTGAAAATCTGTCGGCTATTTGAAGTAGCAATTTTAATTTTCAGTGCTGCATCCACTCGATCCACTACAGTGTAAGTGCCGATGCTTCCATCGTCAAAGCCGACAATAATGTTCAAATGCCTCTGGGAAAGGGCAAGGAAAGTTGGAGTTTTATAAAGGGAACAAGCACCAATATTTTTGCCATCTGCCAATCTCATTACGATTAGGATGGAAATTGCACCGTTATCATCATCCTCTTCACCAGTACGAAAACAAATGTAGACAAGGTAGCGCCCATCCTGAGACAGCCGCTGCCTCCAGATAATGCCAGAAGCATGGACAACACGAAGCTTGCCACTGTGAAGATCAAGCACATTGATATTCTCATCACCCCTGGATATAATCCCTAGTTTCCCATTGGGTGATATTTCAAAATCCTCTAAAGTCTTTAAGAAAGTGTTGGGAAGTTGTACACGTCTGCAGATAACTTCTTCAGTAAGACTCCAGATGTTCACAGTTTCAGTTGATGTTATAAAGACCACTATGTCAGGGCAATCTGGGATCAGTTTGATATCAACAATAGTTATCCCATCATCGCAACAGAATTTCTTGGTTATACTCCCGGTCCAGAGACTCACTGCCAGCACTTTATTTTTTGTCATTCCAACTACAAATGTATTAGCAGTGGTTATAAATGCATTCTGTAAGGCAACAAGAATATTGCAAACTCTGTGGCCTGTCGCCAGTCTCCAGACTCTAGATGCATTTTGCTCACAGAGAGAGACAACAAACTGATCATTGTGTGTTATCAGCAGCTGGCTTATCCTTTGTCCATTAATGCGGAAGAGATTTTCACCAGAACTAGTCTGCCATACATACTGACTGCATTTGTCATCAGAAGTAATCATCAACTTTCCATTGGAAGTCAGCACACAATTTTCAACAATACTTTCATGCTTAAATATAGCTTCAATAAATCCAGTGCCAAAGTTCCACTTATGTATAACTTCAGACCCATCAAGTGTGTAAATCACTTCACCTTTGGCAGGCAATACCAGTCTTTGTATTGGCTTGCCAGTTTTGTCAATATTGGACATTGCAGTTATAATATCTATATCCCAGATAGAAAGGACACCACTGGTAGATAAGGAGAGCAGCATATTATGATGATTTGACTTAATTAATTTGACAATGTTTCCTGAGAGTTCTTGTAAGCTTGCCATACACTGTCCTGTATCTCTCCTCCAAACAAAAATGGCAGAGGTATTTTCAATAGAAGCAACAATGCAGTCACCGTTTTTGGACAACACAGCTGATATAAAGCGTTCATTGTGTTTAGCTCTAAACTTTTCAGCTACTTTCCACATGCCAGTGTCCAGAAGCTCTATATTAAGTGCCTTACATATTAAAATTGCACTTTGGTCTTCAGCTAGTTCAATACTGATAAATTCACTGTCTCCCCTCTTGCAATCAAAGTCATCTGTCAGTTGGGGGTTGGTGATTTCCTCAGTGTTCCAAATGGAAAGACCACCTTCACTGTCCACCATCACCATCTCTTGAGCTGTATCTAGGACCAGAAGATATTTGACAAACCCACCAGAAAATTCTGAAGTCACAGTAGCCAGCTTGTCTCCACTGCCTAAATGGAATATAGATGCTGTATTCAAGTACTGTCCACAGAAAGCATACATTCCATCTGGGGAACACTGGACACAAGTCACTTCATACCAACAATGGAACTGATAAAGTGGCCATCCATAAAGTAGATCTATTACAGTAATGTCCTTGCTAGCTTCTAGCCATGAAAGTGCATGATTTATTGAGAGAGTAAACCCATTTATAAAACTGGAACCTACACCAATTCCACCATGTTTTGATCCCTTAATCTCTACCTCAGACAGAAGACAGGAATTTAGGTTGTCATAAATCAAGAGTGTGTTCTTGGTTGTGGCCACAACAAGGTACTTTTCATCACTAGTGAGTTTCATGCCCAGGATTACTGACTGAGCTGTTGTTATTTGCCGTAATAATTGACGAGTCTCCACATCCCAGGTACTGATGGAGCCATTTTCGAGAGCTACAATGACTGTACTTGGATTAAAGGTAGGCAGGATTTCGGTGACTTGAGTGCAACTGGAAGACAACGGTAATCTCTCAGGGCTGTAAGTTACATCCATCGAAGAATGCAGTGGAACAATGGAGCAGTATTTAGGACCATCTTTATCACATTCCAGAAGAAGCTGCCTCAGTTTAGGCAATGAACTAACAACGGGAAGAAGTCTCTGCTGTAATTCAGCAGAGAGGGTACCTGGATATTTTATCACTTTGTATTTTATAGCGCGAAGTGTGTTTGCAAGGAATTTTAGTTCTTTTTCTTGTGAATAGTTATAGGCCAATTCCACATCAGAGAGAGCTTTGTCAAACTGCCCAATTTTGATCATGGTATACAACCAACTGAAATTCATAATGACACCGTATAGCATGTCATCTGTTTTCCCACACTGAGTCAAGTGGTGCAAAAGTTCTGTCATTTTTCTATGGTTGACAAAAAAGATGTCAGGTTCAAGAGGGTTACACTGGAATACCCAAGGCTGATCAGGTGACTGCCTATCAAAATTGGTCTGATCCATTATGTGTTTTTCCTCATCATTCATGCTCCTACTGTCACTATCAAGGCAACCATTCAGGTATTGGTCTTCATTGTAAAGAGACTTCCTTCTACCTCCTGACCAAACACCCAGAAAATATTCAGCCATCACCATATGCATTTCATGGACATCTTCTTCATTATTAAGATACATCTTTTGGGCAATAAGTTGTAGATGCCTATTTGCCCATACTAAAAGGGTAACGTTTTTAACTTGCCTTTCCATTAAGTATCCGGTTAATCCTTCTTTCAGTCGTGCAATATAAATGTAAGGAACTCTCAGTGGGTTGTGATGTCTGATGCTCTCATTTAGTTCGAACATAACTGTGTTGTCAAGAGCCAAAATGTCTTCCAGTTCCATTTCACTGAGACCAGACTTGGCCATGGTGATGTAACCAATGGCTCGTGAGGCAAGTCTGGGTCCACAGTTGTTTTCTACTGACCAGAACATTTGCTCTATACTGTCATGAACAGTCACACAGAGAGAAGACTCATCAACATCTTTGTGAGATCTCCAATTTTGGACCTCTCTGAAGGTTAAATTTACAAACATAGGCAGTGTGCATCTGGAAAAAGCTTCATTGACATAGATTTGCTGCCCGGATGTTACTTTTCTTTTAACTTGGAGCAGTTGCTGCTTGAGAACTTGACTACACATCTTCCTGTCTCTAGGCATCAATTCAATATAGTTATCCTCATTATGTATAAGGCACCTCAGTTTTTGCAGGATTCCATGTTTGTTTGGCAGTGTTGACAAGATAATTCTCACTGAACGGGGCAAATGAATAGGGAGCCACCACAGTTTTCTAGCATCATCATTATCTGACAGCTGCTCCACAGCATCAAATATCATAACCAGAGGTCTATGAAATGAAGATTCATTCAGAAGATTTATAAACAACTCCCGGAGGTCGTGGATTTTTTTGGGATAATTTTGCACGAGGCAGCGATAGTTAATTGCTAATTGTTCACAAATACTTTGAAGCAGGTTCCTAAGGTCTGTACTCATCTCAGTGGATCCCAAAAATCTGATAACTACTACAGGGTCAGATTCTGGTCCCATTTCTTCCTTCAACCAACCATAAGCCTACAAATATAGAAACATAGATAGGTTATTATCTGAACTACTAGAACAACAAATAAAGCACAGTAAAAATAAAATACATCTTAAAAAAGTAAATATTGAAGAGAACTAAATTAAGTATCTATATTGGGATTTTCAGCCCCAAGGAAGTAGAGCCTATAGAGCTGACCATCAATTTAGTTAAAACTGCTGTGTTCCTTTCTCATGTTTTTATTTGCTTTTGCTGCACTTTTTTCTTTCCTTACAAATAACTTGCAAATGGGAGCCTAATCAATCAATAATAGCTACTGATATACAACTGCTAACATAATTCTTCTGTGTATCCTACATAAATGGCCACTGCCTAGCAATATGTCATTTCTTAGCTAGCCGGAATATCTATACATGTTGTATTTGGGATCTTTATTCCAGTGCAATGCATTTTTGGCAAGTCTGTAAGTCTCATGGCTCACCCCCTTAACCGGGCCTGCACAACCTATGGCCCTCCAGGTGTTTGGGGCTGAAACTCTCTGAAGCCCTAGCTAGCTTGTCCAATTGTCAGGATTTCTGGGAGGTGAAGTCTAAAACACCCGGAGAGCCACAGGTTGTGCAAGTCTACCTTTAACTTTTCTACTTTTCTTTTTATTCATTTTCAGTATTTCTATGCCACTGTTTAAGGAAACAATAAACAATAAAAACAGTTAAACAATAAACTGTTAGAAGCAGCCAGGAACAACAGGCCCATTTTCATCCAGGGATGGAACTATGAACTTGCCATCATATCATATGGGTTGGGGCCATTAGGGATGGGGCCACTGTATCAATAGCTGCTTGTGCCTGCCAATCTAGTAGATCTTCTTGAAGAGTAAGTTTGATCTACTTAATATTAATAAAGACATAAATTATAGGGTTGCTGTGTGTTTTCCGGGTCTATGGCCATGTTCCAGAAGCATTATCTCCCAGAAAACTCACAGCAACTAAGTGATTCTGGCCACAAAAGCCCTTGTCATCAAATAAATGATACTGTTCAATGATTAAGTTGAAGAATTGTTCCAAATTATATTAAACATTTTAGGGATAATGGTAAATTTCACTTGCTGTAAAAGACAGTGATGTGAATTCACATTTGGCCTGTTCTCTTTGGTTCTTATATGCAAGTGTGAGGACTTTCAAACATCACACTGGCACATAAGAGCCACAGAAATGAGATTGGATCTGAGTGCACATTGTTCCTCCAGGAAAAAATACATGACCAGGTGATGGAGGCATTAAATGACAGTTTCAGGGATCTAGGCTCTCCTGAAGACTCAAAAGAATCTTAGCTGTAAAGCAGCCAAGATCTATACTGATCTGTTCTAAGGGGGAAAACATGGAGAAATTGCTAGGAAGGTTTAGAATTACAGCTTTGTGCAAAATATAGTTAGAATAAAAATCAGTTTGCATTTCTGTAGCTAAGTTTACAATAGTATAGCAAATACATATAGTTGTATGTACTTTACCTTTTTTGCAACTTCTGCCAATAAGAAGGTTTTTCCAGTGCATGGTCCTCCATATATGACAAGAGGGTTAATGTGGCCCATTTTCCTAGGCCGGATGTATTTGTGCATAATATTCCTAGCATCACACTTGTATTCATAGAATGAAGAGTAGGTTCGACATAGTGAGGAATGTTGGAGGACTTCGTCATAGAGCCAATCTGTCTCTATGTCAAAATTCTGTTGCACAGTTGCTTGAATGATATCAACCATGTCTTCATAAAACTGTTTGCCAAGCCCTTCAATGTAGTGGTTCTCCACTTCTTGTGTGTAACCATATTTGATGTCACAGTGGGTGACAGAAGTGTAGACTCTCAAATTTGATGATGCTACAATGGTAGGAACAAATTCATCCCTGAGTCTGATGAGTTTCTCAAGTGCTTCCGGGTCACGTGTATGCTTTCCACCTGCGTGGAGGACATCCATGTATTTCTCCATCTCTGGAACTTTAACAAAACGCTCTATGTTTGCAATCTTCCGTATGTAGCAAACACACTTCTTTAGGAAAGCTGGGGTTTGTTTTCCTAATGCAAAATCAAATTCATCTTCGATAGCTGGGAGGGGAATAAAAAGAGGAAGAGGAAATCTAAGGCTCCTACAAAACAGAGTGAAAAATGCTCTGCTGAATCTAACTCCACAATAGGCCACATACTTTCCCCATATTCTGCTGCTGGTGACAGGGCCCCCCAAAGGAAAAAATAAATGCATTTTGTGATTTTTTTTTGGCATTGTTTCCTATTTTTGAGTCACCCAGGAGCATAATAAAGAGCATGGAAGATTCTAGGTACCATTATATCTTATTTATAATTATGTATGATTAATGATTAAAATTAAAAGAATAGCAAAAGGTTTCCTGTTTTGCACATACTTCCCTGAACATGGAAATATGCCATGATGACAATTATCAGTGTACATCTGCCTGCACATTGTGTAACGGCATTTAAGGTTTACCGGAAGAAAGATATCTCTTTGCTTGACTGTGTTTCATTTTCCCCTTTTCATATAGCATCTTCACAGCTGTTTTAATAATTGTCTTAATTTCTTCTGTGATCTCCTGCCATTTGGTTTCACTTACAGGGTTTGAGGATGCTTCCATCTTAAAAATTAGAAAAACAAAAACAAGTCATTAATTAGTGCTGTCAATGCCGGCACTAGCACCTTTGCCAATGATGAAGGTTACATTTAAGCTAACAACCAACAATGATTCAAGATCTAGCTCAAATAATTCATCAAAGACAAAGCTGCCTTAGACATCACGGATATTCACACATTTCTCTTGTAGTTAGCAGAATGTGCAGAATAAACATTCATGAAGATGGCAGGGTGTATAACAGTTACAGAACAGAATGTAAACTGAAGAAGCTACAAATAATAGATTAAAAACAAACTGACAGTTTGAACCATGGCAGAAGATTATGTCTTCCTATTGAGAACTGTCTGAAAATAAAAGCCTAGAAGAAAAATCTGAAGTGTCTGTTTCATTTGGGAAAAGGACAATGTTGGGAAGAACTGTAAAATTAGTGGGGCCTTACTGCTCAAGACCTAAAAAACTTCACCTCTTGACTTATGTTCTGTACTGTATTGTCGAAGGCTTTCCTGACCGGAATCACTGGGTTGCTGTAGGTTTTTTCGGGCTATATGGTCTGACCCCCCACAACCTCTAAGGATGCTTGCCATAGATGCAGGCAAAACGTCAGGAGAGAATGCCTCAAGAACATGGCCACCTACGGCAACCTAATGTTCTACTGTTGGGAGAAGGGGCAGAAAAGGCAGCTTGTAACCAATTTCTTTTCGCCATTTCCACCTCAGTCTCCAAGTACTAAAAGTCAAAAATGGCATTAGTATTGATGGTGGCTTCTGTATTGACAGTGTTAATACCTCCACCTAGTGCTTTCATAGCGACAGTAACATTTATATCTATGACAGTAATGGCTTGATAGTAACAGTATCATTATTTTTCTATGATTATACCAATAATGAAAACTGACCTTATAAACAAGTAACAAACTGTCTCGATCCATACTTATATCAACAATATGAGAATGGAAACTAAGTTTGGAACTTCCAAAGCTATAGATGTCATAAAGACCAATGTGTACAAAAGGTGATCTAAATAATATATACCAGTAAAATGTATTGACAGAGCAAGCAGCCGAAGGCAGTTTTATTCAGATCCAAGCATTGGATGGAATACATGTTCTCCAGGCCAGGACCCAGAAAATCATTTAGTGGAGCTGAAGAGCAGACTTATGATCAAGAACATAAAGTTAAGATCACAGTGTTAATTTTTATAGTAGGCTTGGCCAATCCAGAGGTTTTTTTTTTTTTTGTTAATATTAGAAGCTGGTGATACGTGGAAGCCTTTGTCCTTCATGGCTTGAGTACACTGGCACAGGCATTTGCTTTAGGCCTTGCACTTTCTGGAGCCAGTACAATCCATATGTGCATGAAACTGAACCCAACCTGATTTTGAGACAGTATTATTGCATCTATAATATTTTATAGTGTAAAGTTGCTTTGTGTTATTCTAAGAATTGAGAGCAATTTCCCCTAAACAAGGGTTCAATTTGAAATCTAGAGAGGTTTATCTTTCTGCATCTACTTCTGCACCAATTGGTTGGCAGACTGCAACACCCCAAGAGCAGGTTCAGAGCTGCTTTGCTTTGGGATCCTGTTCTATTTTACAAATGAACTCTGAATGCTGTAGCCAAGAAATAGGATAATTCGTTTTCCTAAATTATCGGCTGTTCTGTTGGCTGGGAGGAAAGATGCCAAGTGGAATAGTGTATATGCTTCTGTGTGTACTCTGGTCTCTTGCCAGCTTTGAACTGGACTGCAATCAAAAAATTATTTTGCTCAACAGCCTCTAGATATTAATGTCTCTCTGTCTCTACAAACCAGTGGAGTGTCTGAACTTCTTATTTAGGGGTGACCAAATTTGTTCTCTTGAACTATACGCAACTCCTGGCCAGTCAACTGAATCAGAAACAGAGGAAGAGATAGAGAAGAAGAAGAAGAGCAACAACAACAACAGCAGCAGCAGCAACAACAACAACAACAACAAGGGGAGGAGGCAGAATGAAAAGGGACTGTGGAAATGTGATTTTGATATCAACAGGGCTATAGGATATATCTGTATGAATATATATATGTTCTATGAACTATAAATTTCTTTCTTTCTTTCTTTCTTTCTTTCTTTCTTTCTTTCATTCATTCATTCATTCATTCATTCATTTATATTCTGGCCTTCTCACCCCGAAAGGGACTCAGGGCGGAGCACAGTATATATATGGCAAGCACTCAATGCTGGAACATAAAATAAACTATAAAGATACATAAGCAGTAAAATCAATGATCTCCACTTTAACATCAATTTCTTAAAACCATCTCAGAGCAGCCATACCGGATCTGGTCAGCAGGGTCAAGATTCCTATTGTTCCTAAAATATAACTGCCATGGTTTTTCCAGATGACTCCAGGGAACTCCATGGAATGATAGTCTCCAGGACATACTGACTATGAAACAAGTTGACGTCTACATTAAATGAAAGTGATTTACCATATTGGGATTGCTCTTCAACATTTCAGATTTTGGTTTGAGATAATAAGTTGGTGGCACTGCATTCTCATCTCTGCAATACCACTCTTCCAAAATCCTTGTTTCCAGTTTTGCCTCAACAGCAGCATCCAGAATCATTTCAAATTCTGATGATTCTACTTCTCCTGGTATTCGCATACTTCCGTATTTTTCTCCCAAAAGGCCCTGTGTAGACATAAAAGAGAATACAGTTTAGTAACATTGCTAAATATGTATTTAGTGATGATTTAGTTCCTAGATTGGAAATGTCCCACCTACTATAGACATATAGTTATATCTATGTATAAATATGTGAGAGGAGGTCATATGGAGGAGGGAGCAAGCTTGTTTTCTGCTGCCCTGGAGACTAGGATGTGGAACAGTTTGGCCACGGAGCCACCCTGGAAGTATTTCTCTGGGTTGTGATGGGTGTCATCAGGCTCCATGGCCAAACTTTCAAAAGCCTGTTGCCTCTGTCAAAAATAAGCCCTTGTGAAGAGGTAAATCAACCAGAACTCTCAAGTAACTGGCAAAAAATTAAAAAAATAAAAAATAAAATAATTATCAACAGAAAGGCTGTATTGATGTATGTTTGTCTTTGTTCATCTTAATTTGCTTTAAATTACTATATTTTCAATATTAATATCAGGTCGGTACATAGTTTATGGTATGGTATAGTATGGGGTATACTATTAGTTAAGCCTATTTTACTATTTTTTTATTACTATTTACTATTTTTCTCAAGCAACCAGAAACTACATTTATCCAGCATCTATAATCCCCATGGCTGCTGGTTAATTGAGAGTCTCCTGTGATCTATATTTGAGAATTATTGGAACAATAGTGGAAGCATCTGTAATTTTCTATACACTTAAATGAAAGCAATCCATACAAACCCAGGAGAACTAACTACAAAGTAAACTTGCACAGGCTCAGACTGCTTGGTTACAACACCACAATCATTTGGTTGTATATACAATCTAACAGAAGTTTGAACCTAAGCAAACCTGTATAAGGCAGTGGACTGCATATCCAAAAGATGCATTAAAGTAAAGTAAAGAAAGAAAAAGACAATGCAGACAAAAACCTGTTTTTTAATGCCACAAAGTATTATTCTTCACTAAATTATTTGCTGTAAACTCTTGCCAGCTTAGAACTAGACTGCAGTCAACAAAATATATTTGGCCCATCATACACAAGATACGACTATTTCTATGCAATGTTTATATTATCCAGGGAAGCCAGCTGTGGCTCTTGAGCTGGAAGCAAGAAGTAGAAATGGAGAAACAAAATAGGGAAAGGAGTTGGAGACATAAATGTGTGGAAGGCAACTGGGCAAGTCAGAGGCAAAAACAGGATAGCAGTAGGAACTTAAACACACATACTACAAATATATGTTAGTATATGTGTATATATACCATATATAATCTTATTTACGTATTTAATTGACAAGTGGGATCTGCTGCCAATCAATGTACTCTGATGTCAACCTTCCTGAATGAGTTTTCACTGAAGCCTATTCACTACCCCATACTGTGAACAATGCTAGCACTAAGGCAGTATGGATAGTTGATGATATGCTGGCAAATAATCCCACAGAAACTACAGAGCAATAGTAAGATCCATCCAGTGCTTGATCAAAATACTGCAGTGTGTGGCAGCAATGATGCTGCTGTCACCTGTAATAAAACTATAACAATACACTTTAATAAAGAGTTATTTTAAGTGAGGTTGCAATTAGGCATATGGGAATGATTCTCAGAAGCTAGTGTGCCATTGTATCCCTTGCACAATGCTTTGCCGATCATAACAAAGGAAGACACAAGAGAGAAAATGGCTCTCCTGGGTGCCAATTTTGGAGCCTCATCCTAAAAAGTTTATTCATTTGTAAAATCAATTATTTATTTGTGACATTAAACTAAGTATTTGGAACTATAGATAGAAAATGCCAAAAATGGTGTTAGGCAGATGGCATTCAGAATGGGAAAAGGCAATTAAACATGCAGATGAAATTTACCATTTAAATGCCTTATTTTACTGAAATGTTGAGACTCCATCCAAAATAAAGTTGGGATATTTAATGAATGTATTTTTCCAAGAGTACTCAGATCTTTTATGTGTGAAAGTAATTTGTTCTTTGGGTGACTAATGTAATAGCTCTTCCTAGCAAGATTTCAAGTTTTTATTGCATTTCAATCACAGAGAAATTTTACTGAAATTATTTTACTCCTTCAATTGAAAAATACTTCAGGCAAGAGGGTCTCATCCACTTTACACAGTTTGTAAAGTCTAACAAATATGGTGTGTTACATCATTTTCAAACATTTGGGTGGGAAAAATGAATATTCAAGTTACTTAAAACAAACTTGTAAGCCTTATAATTTGTGACAACTAAAGATTAACTCCATGTGACCAGCCAAGGCAGACTTTCAAACATTGTTGTTTGCTTTTCAATCATTATTATGCCTGACAGAAATATGCATGGAATGGTAGTTTTAAAAAAGCAACTTTGGGGGATTTATGGGCTTAAAAGCCAGCAGAATTGGATGTGGGTTTGGTAAGAAATAAGTTCTACAGTGTTCCTTGGGGCTTATTCCTAACAGTGTGTTTAGGATTGCGGCCAAAATAATTGGACCAGCTATACGTATGAGAAATAAGCTTTCTTTCTGGCTAGAGGAGAACACTCTTTAGGGAACAATTACTAGATGATCTTCTCAGAAACCAGCACTGTATCTGAACTGAATTTTTTGTCTGCTTACAGACATAGAATCAAACAAGTATTGAGAAGTGGGCTCCCATGGACTTCAGTGACTGCAAGCCAGTATGTACTTAATCTCTAAATCTATAAGTACTTATATCTGAAAATACAGTACTAGTTATAAGAAATTAGAAGACATTAGATTCCTGAGGATTTAAATTCCTGTTTGGCCATTCAAACAAGCTACTGACCTAAAATTATTTTGAAAAATCAAAGAACCTATGTTGGGCAAAAAGCAATGATTTTAAATAGTTTTAACTCAAATATTATAGGGAGTTGAAATAATAATAATACAAGTGGAAGCTAAGAGCATTCTGTAATGGGGGCTTTACTATCCCAGAAGGGGGATAGTGTTGCTCAATATCATAATGCAGACTACAAATGCTTAGGAAGCAGATTACTGATTTATTAAAATGGAAGATTTCTATTTTTTTGTTTCCATTTGTTTATTGATTACTAAAAGTAATCAGTGAGAAAAGGAAAGCGAAGAACAACTTAGTCTCCAAAATCAAAATAGCCACAAATACAGCAAAGCCAGAACTGACAAGATTTCATATCTTTTGGTTTATCAGAACTTGCTTCTATGCAAATATGTACAGGAGTGAACTGCAAGTTTTTTTTGCACTTGAGAGATATTACAAGGTTCTTAAATTGCCCTTTTCTAGCTATACGTAATTTATTATTGTTTGCCACATTGTCATGCTACCCTTCTTTCAGGGAATCCAAAGTGTGTGCTCAGGTTTGATCTATAAATGCTGGTCTACAATGATCTACAATAACAGCTTCATTTTTAATCTGTCTGTGGTGCAGTCCTAGACATGTTTATTCTGATATAAAATCTTCTGCATTCAATGTGCTTATTTAGGACTGTATATAGCTTCAATCATGTCATATGCACAGGAGGTCTCTTAGTTTGGTCTGCTACTAGCAACAAATAAAAATTGTGTTCATCATTGAATCCAATGATTTTCTAAGCAGCCTCAAGTCTCACCATGACATTAGGATAAAATACCTTCAAACAATGAGACATTTTGGGTCTTTTCACTTATTACTGAAGCGATTGCAAGGTTAAAGAGATTTCTCAGCTTTTGCCAGCACTTAGATAAAAGCAGAATACATTGCTAGAAGAAACAAGTTAGCAAGTGGGGTCCTCAATGGGTAGGAGAGCAGAGCCAGTAAAATCTGTTTCCACTAATCAATTTTGACTCCATATAGAAATATGCAGCCTTATGCTATCAATGGATAAAAAGATGTTATATTGAATAAAATGACATGAAACGGCAACCTGAAGACCACAGATTAGTCTAAAAGGAATAACTGCCCTTTTCTGAGGTATTCATGGCCATCTCAGGAGTACTTTGATTGTGATTCTCCTGCATGACAGAAGGTTGGACTAAATGGTCCATGCAGTCTTTTCTAACTCTATTATTCTATGATCCTATGAAACATCCGATTCTGTCTACAGAATCAAAACAAAAGTGAATAAATGAATTAAAAATAGATATATGTTTTTCTTTGGAGATGTATTTATGTGGAAACCCTAATCTAATGAATTGAAGTGAGGCAAAGCATGCATGCTTCCCTTTTTACCAATGCCTCCAATTATGGACCCATTCCCACTACACAATAAGAAGCAGGAAGGGTATTTGGTGTGATCTTCATAGAAGAGTGAAAAGGAAATGATCAAAATCTCTCAGCTGGATCTCCTTTGTGGCAAATTATCTTCAAAGCAATTGTTATTTACTTATATTAAATGCTATAGAACAGTGGTTCTCAAAGTGTGCTCTGTAGAACACTTGGGGCTCCACAAAGCATACTGAGAGGCTCTATGATTTCCTCCTCCTCATCTCTCCTCTTCCCCCTCCAAGTCTACTTCCTCTTTCCTGCTTCTCCCCCTCCTTCACCCCCAAAAGCCTCTCCCCTTGCCCCCAAAAGGTTTTTTCCTTTGTCTACTTCACCGTCCAGATCTTTTCCCCTCTCCTTCCTTGCTTCCTATTTCCCTCCCATCACTCAGGGAGTGCTTTGATTGTGTTGTTCCTGCATGGCAGAAGGGGGTTGGACTGGATGGGCCCTTTGGTCTTCCACTGAAATACTGTTAAGTTTATGTTGGTTAAAATTGTTCTTCATTTTAAATATTGTAGAACCCATCCCCTTGCACTACAAATGAGATATGTGCAGTGTGCATAGGAATTTGATCATTTTTTTCAATTAGTTCACACAAACACTCTCCATCCATTTGCCACTGGCCCGACCCATCTGTCAAAAAGTTTGTCAGAAAGATGGCCCATGCCTAATATATATGCATTATATAAAACATATAATATAATATTTAAACATTTCTTGGGTCTCCATGGGAAATTTTTGCTTCAAAAAGGGCTCTGCAGGTAAAAAAGTTTGAGAACTTCTATAGAATATCCGTAATGCCAAC